GCACATTTTGAACAAGGTGACCTAGATAATGCATCTGCATTTCTATGTTGTAAACCGGGACGATGCTTGACAATGAGATCATATGTACCAAGGACTTCGAGCCAACGAGCAACCTGGCCAGTTGGTTGTTTCAAATTTTTCATCCAACTGACTGCGGCATTATCGGTACGAAGTATGATCTTTTGGCCATAAAGATAATGATGGAAAGCCTTCAAAGCATGTACTACTGCTAAAAGTTCTTTGCGTGTTACACAGTAGGACATCTCATGCTTATTTAAACTTTTACTATAATACGCGATGACAACCTCTCTATCATTCTGCACTTGAGAGAGAACAGAGCCTGTTGAAAAATGACTTGAGTCTGTATCTAGTATGAACTGAAAGCCTGGTAAAGGGTATCCTAAAATAGGTGATGAGGTTTACGCTAGCTTTAATGATTTAAAAGCATTTTCACATTCTTCGGTCCAATGGAATTTAACAGATTTCTCAGCTGCTTGATTTAAGGGTTTCGCAATTTTTGCAAAGCCTTCAACAAAACGCCTATAATACGAGCAAAGACCCAGAAAACTTTTTACATCTTTAGCATTACGAGGTGTCTGCCAATTTTGCACAGCTGAGATTTTATCGGGATCTGTTGCAATACCAGATTCTGAAACAAGATGACCTAAAAATTTGACTTGCTTTTGAAAAAGAATACATTTAGATGGTTTGAGCTTTAGGTTGGTCTCCTTAAGCCTTTGAAAAATATGTTCGAGTCTCTCAAGGCCATCGGCAACTGATTTACTTGGGACAATAATATCATCCATATAAAGAAGACATTCTTCCCATTGAAGGCCACGCAAGACATTTTCCATGAGCCTTTCAAATGTAGAAGGGGCATTAGCTAAGCCAAAACTCATAACAGTGAATTGAAATAGGCAAACAGTGGTAGCAAAGGCTGTCTTTTCCTTGTCCTCTGGTTTCATACCAACCTGCCAAAACCCGCTATTTAGGTCTAATGAACTAAAGTATTTAGCACCAGACAATGAGTCGATACAGTCGCCAACTCTGGGCAACGGATATGCGTCTTTGACAGTAACATCATTTTACTTCCGGTAGTCTATACAAAACCTAGGAGTACCATCTTTCTTAGTGACAAGGACAACAGGTGATGCCCAGGCACTATTTGAGGGCTCAATAACACCCCTTTCAAGCATTTTGTTAACCTCTTCTTTTTCAATTGCACGTTTACCTACAGGCAAACGACGTGGGGGCTGTCGGATTTGTTGAGCACTGTTTGTATTGATGGAATGTTGAACTATGTTTGTTAAACCTATATCTTCTGGAGATTTTGAGAAAGTACTTGAGTATATGTATAAAAGCTTTAACAAACCATTCTTTTCAGTTTCACTCAAATCTTTAGAACTTCGTTCATAAAGATCTTTAAGATGGTCTGGTAAGATTGGTTCTGTGTCACAATCAGATTGAAGAACACGTGCAACCCGTGCAGAAGTCGTATCTTGTTCTTCAAAGTATGATTCGCAGGTACCTATGTTCGTATTCTTATACAAGGTTACTGTATCTTGGCCATAATTAATAACATTAATCACAACCTCATGGTTTGTTTTTACTATACCGCTCATCATAATGACCTCTTTCTGAGCCATAACATGTGCAGATGGCTCGAGAAAACTGTCCTCTAAAAGATGTTCTGAATATGGAATCTTAACAGGTATCCACATTCTAGATTAAGCTGGCAGGCGTACAGTATCTTTTACTTCTACCCTGCAAACCTGAAATGCTTTTCCTCCACTCCAAAGAGGAACAAAATCATTTCCAATTTGAAGGCAGTTTTGTCTATAATTAATACTATCTACATTTTGTTTTAAAAAATCTTGGCCTAAGATACCCTCTGTATCTATGTTGCATACGATGAATGTCACGTCATAGCGCTGATCACCAAGCTGAATAATAAGATCAACGCTACCACTGACAGACATTTGTTCACCATTAACTGCATGTAAGGTTTGTGAAACTGATGAAAGTGGAAATAAACTGTTGTCTGGGTCAATCTCAGAAAGTTTTCTTTTCGAAATTAAAGAAGACGTTGCTCCACAATCAACTAGAAAATCTACTGAAATAGACCCAATGAAGCATGTTGTGTAAAATCCATTATCAAATATGTTAAGGTCTGAACCAGCGCGAGCGGTGTGAATTTCGGTAGTTAAATTGGGCATTTTGGTAGATGCTGATTCTTTGCTCACAGAATCAGCGGCAGTTAGTTTTCCGAAAATTTTGACTGAATTGCGCCCGATTGTGAGCTGGAGGCGTTTTTATAACCGCTTGCGTTGCTGTCATTATTAGAACGGTGGAAATATTGTTTGTTTCTGTTACCAGTAGAAACCTTGTTACTGTTGTTCATTGGACAGTTTCTCCACAAATGATTTGCAGCGTTGCAACCGAAACACAGTCTTGTGTTACTTGTTGAAGTTTGATTAGAGTTTAGTTTACAAGCACGCTCAATATTTTCAATTTTAACCTCAAGTTTCTTTATCATAGATTTCAGTTCATCACCCTCATTTTGTGGTTTTGATGAACTCTCAAAAGCTCGAATCGGGGCTGTGTTTTGTAATACTAAAATGCTTTCATAGCGTTCTATCACAGTAACTGCCTCATTAACTGATTTGCAGTCATTATCTACGCAGCGGCATTTCATGTCGGTCGGTAGAGATTTATATAATTGATTTAAAGCAAGTTTTTCTTGGGCTTTAATTCCAAGATCTGAATGTGCTTTTTGCGCAAGTTGCCTTAGATCGTCGCCTAGGGACGCGATACTCTCACCTCTCTGACGTTTTCTGTTCTCTAGCTTTTGTAGCCACAGGGCTTGGTGCTTAAGACTACCAAATCGGTCTTGTAACCTAGAAACTAAAGTACTATAGTCTCTGCGCTCAGCGACTGGCAATGTCATGTAATAGGTTCGAGCCGGCCCTCTAAGACTAGCTGATAAGATAAGGACGCGTGTATTTGCAGCCCAACACGCTAATTCAGAACAATCCTCAAAATGTGACAAGTATTGTTCAAAACATTGTGAACCATCATATGTGTCGGGTTTAACTGTATGTGACATGGAATGGTGTAATGCAGGAGCCGATTGTATAAAATTACCGGCATATTTATTGTTTGTTCTATTACTAGCTTGCTGATAAATATGAATACCATCTCTAGGCGGTAACTGGTTATTTTGCGAAAAATCTCCGTTATCATTTGAATTAACAATACCTGTGATATTATCTCTATCACAGACAACATCTGCAGGAAAGCCATTGCTGTCCTGTGATTCATCCATTTGATCGTCTCTATGTTCATTCAACAACGGGAATGAAACTTCGGGGTCGGGTGAAGACATATTCAAAGATAGAAAAATACGTTTTCTATCTCAAATTAATTGAAGACGTGTGTTCTTATGCGGTATATAAAACTTCAAAAAAATACCGTACTTCTGACACCAGTTTGTAACGTACTTTTCCCGCAGTATCAGGATAGCTGTTTCAAAAATACGCCACAAGTTCTACTGTATAAACATATATGCTAACTTAGCATCAGTTATATACAGCACCCGGTTTCACTGTTATATTAGTAGAATCTTTTCTTTAGGATTTCCGGAATAAATAATACAACACTTTCATCAAGTTTCAGTTCTTTGGTTTAATAGTGTATACATAGTTTTGTATACATAAACTGCATATATATTCTAACATTTAATATATCTTATCATCAATATACAGAAATAAGTTTCGGCATCATTTCATAAGGCGCTATGTTAAGTGATTTTATGATTTCCTAAAATATAAGTCAACAACGCTTTTATCAAGTTTGGATTCTTTGGTCTAATATCCGTTTAGTTTAGGATTAAAAGTTATAACATGAAGTACGTCAGCTCTCATTCAGGGAAAGTTGCTTAATAAAAGTTTAATACGTATTCCAATGTGATTTAGGAGTCTTTCCTAAATAGAAACTTACTAAAATTCAGTTTTGATGTTTTCTGCTCAGTTTTGAATTATCGCGCCTAAGCAACTTTAGTGGGCGTTGTTGTTTCAAAATGAGGACTGTCGCTCTATTTATAACCTTTGAGCCGTTTAGGAATTTAGGAAAGGATTCCCGACCAATCAGATTGCACTTAGGATTTATCTAAGCCAATCAGAATCGGTTAGGAATTCCCATCCTAAAATGAGTAAACAGCTCAACAGATCATAATAACAAAATACAAAGTAAACATATAAAGTTGTAAGTAATCATTATGTTGAGAAATAACACTTACGCTATTTAATACATCTCAATTAAATACTTATGGTAATTTAGCAGGATTATTACAATTTAAAGAGAATTAGGGTGATTCCACAACCCAACTTTACTACGCGAATGACCGAACAAATAGTGCGGTCTTGTTTTACAAAAATAAACTATTACAGTAAATCTCTTGAACAATTTGAGAAGCAAACATTATAATCACATAATACAAAATACATGTTACACAATAAAGTCAAATATGCTTCATTTCTAAACAAATTACAGATATCGGTACTCGTGTACCTAAAACAAAGATGGCAGCCTCCATGAACATTTTGGGAAAGTTTTAGGAATTATTATTTAGACAAAAATAAATTGATTAGAGCATGTTTCATGAACAATTACTGATTATAACATCAAAACATAATGGATACTACAAAAATGTGGAGTAACAGACATGTTAATCCAGGAATAAAGAAATAATCGTGCTTCCTAAAATGTCAACAATCTAACATGAAATTCGGAGAAAGGTAACATTCAATTTTAGGAACGTTCATACACAGTGAATTATTAGAATGCTGAAAACAATATAATTACTTTACTGCCCTTATTTGAATAGGAATATTGCGTATACATTACTTAAATGCTGAAAATGACAATAAGTAATGATTTAATAAATAAATAATGATTCTAAAAATAGAATATTTCAGAAACAATAACAAGCTTTACATGCCTTACAATACTCTATTAAATAATTTGTCTTGGTCATATATTCTGTTCACAAAGTGGTTTTCCCAGTTCAAAACAATCCGCGTTTTTGTATCATTATTTGAAGACTGCCACATGTAACCAGTTTCAGGTATTGCTGTTATCACATGCATACCACCATCTCCAATTTTTACGTCTGACACGTCAATCGACATATTTGGATTAAAAGCATGTTTAGTTAAGGTTATAGAGGAGTCGTTGTCATATAAGACCAATCTCCTTGCAATTTTGGAGTTACTGGCCTTGTCGGTAACTTGTAAAAGTATCGAATACATTCCTGTTTCCGGGGGATAGTATGTTGGAAAGTTTATAGAAGACGTTTTGTTTGTCTTGAACTGATGAATTGGCTTTAATGGCTCTAGTTCCGTAAGCTCATGGGGTGTATTTGGTTCCAACTTGAAGATCTCAAGGTAGTAGTAAGCAATTCCAGATAAAGAATCCGACCATCCATCCCAACTGATGTGAATAGGTTTCTAGATTGAAAAATAAAACACTTTCAAAAAAGTAACAATAACACATTTTTAAAAGAAAACAGAGTATTAAATCGTTTTGTATTTAGAATATAAAAAGGTGTCCAACTATATCTACCTGCGTAATATCATTTGCAACATGGATGGGGTTTTCCCCGTTGTTACACTTGTTTCTTGATGTAATTTCCGAACAATGTTCAGGCGAAATCAAATCGAACTTCAATTCTATGATTTTGGTAGATATTTGCCCCTTGTAGATTTGTGTTGATCCAATTTTGCCAGTATGCGTGTCCAAAAGCGTCCTAAAGCCGCCACTTTTTGTAGAGAATGTGACAGTCAAACTGGATAACATTAAAACGGAAATGTTTTATTCATTTGTAACAACACCATAAAAGACCATTATAAAAATAAACTCGCGTGTGAGCATTACATAAAATTCGTTTTAGTTGTTTTTGAGATTAATGTTAAAGAACCCGACAAGTATTTGTCGTGATTTGTCCGCGAACTTCTAGGAATAAAATATACATAAGGAGGTAAATTTAATGTATTGTTATTATATGTACAATGATGCCGCATTTTAACAATCTTTTGTAGCCTCAAAACAATTTCGAAGTGACCATAAGAAGCAAGCATAAAAATGCGTTATTTGTTAGATCCTTGCGATGCAATGAGAACGAAATTCAAAAATATGAAAATATTAGGCTCAATAAAATTAAAATTATTATCTAAATGTAAAGTTCAATTTTTTCAAGTCATGATATCTTCATAACGGTGTTTTTACTTCAACAATCTGATCTTTGTATGAGAACGCTAATTTAAAATTGTATTCAACATCTTTAGATGTATCTTGGATATTTTGTGAACTTGATACTTACAAGTCGTCATGTTCTGTGTGGATTTGGTAGTTTTCCTCGATCTCCTCACAGGATGAAATGTTCTCTTGCGGTGATACATCTGAGACATTTCCACATTTGTAGTCCATGTTGGAAAGCAACATGCCTTTCGTTTCTAATATCATAGATAAATATTATATAGAAACAGATAGCGCTTGTCCAGAGCAAAAATATTGTAAGATATAATGAACGGTTTGCGTTTCTTGATCATAGATTAATAATAAATCATACAGATCGTTTAGTGTGTTTTTCAGTCCACTGAAAAAAAAACTATTCCTAAACTGTAGTTGTGAATATGTTCCGGCGGAGGGGGTAAGTTGGGAACTTTTTGATACATAGACTTCATGGTGAATTCAGCGTTGTTTAAACGATTGTTGATTGCACCATATCAACGTCCTTGTTCGTCTTTTGAGCAAGGTATACTTTTGATATAAAAAAACAGAGAAATGTGTACTTGATATTTAAGGTTTTTCAACATCTAAATTTTTAAATGATAATATTTGAAACGTCATATAATTGATAATGAAAAATTACTTCTCAAAGAGTTTTGCGGCCGTAGAGGCGTTGTTGAAAATTCCTCATCATTGTTCTTTTTATGCCACCGCAGCATCTGCGATGCGGTGGCATATAGCGATTCACCTGTGTGTGTGTGCGTGTGTTTGTGTGTGTGTTTGTGTGTGTGTTTGTGTGTGTGTTATATAGATTATATAGTGAACTTAAAAAATCTTCTTGTGAAAAAACCACTTGTCCAATTTCATTCAAACTTGGCAGGATTGTTCCTTGGGTGAAGGGCTTCCAAAGTTGTTCAAAGAATTTCATTCCATGCAGAAATCTGGTTGCCATGGCAACCAAAAGGAATTATAAGAATAAATTTTAAAAAAAACTTCTTGTAAAGACCCAACAGGCCTAGAGCTTAGATATTTTGCATAAGGCATTGTCTGGTAGACCTCTAACAAGATTGTTCAAATTTTAGCCCTGGGGTCAAAATTGGCCACGCCCCGGGGCCATTGATTTTCACTATGTACATATAGGAAAGACTTAAAATACCTTCTTGTAAAAACCCAAAAGGCCTAGAGCTTAGATATTTTGCATAAGGCATCGTCTGGTAAACCCTTACCAAGATTGTTCAAATTATAGCCCTGGGGTCAAAATCGGCCCGCTGCCCTGGGGTCATTGATTTTCACTAAATGTACATATAGTAAAAAACTTAAAACGCCTTCTTGTAAAGACCCAAAAGGCCTAGAGCTTAGATATTTTGCATAAGGCATTGTCTGTGGTAGACCTCTACCCAGATTGTTCAAATTATAGCCCTGGTCAGTCAAAATCGGCCCCGCCCCGGGGTCATTGGTTTTCCTTATATGTATATAGTAAAGACTTATAGTAAAAACTTAAAAAAAAATTCTTCTAGCAATTGACAAATGCTAGAGGTTAGATATTTTGCATGAAACATTGTGTAGTAAACTCTAGCAAGATTGTTCAAATTATAGCCCTGGGGTCAAAATTGCCCCCACCCTGGGGGTCATTGATTTCAATATATACATATAGTAAAAAATAAAAAAAAATCTTATTGTCTGAAGGTACAAGGCTTAGAGCTTTAATATTTGATTAATAATATCATCTAAAGGTACTCTACAAAAGTTATTCAAATTTTGCCTCTTGTGTCAAAATAACCCCCGCCCCCAGGGGGCCATAGGTTTTCCTTATATGTATATAGTAAAACCTTAAAAAAGTCATCTTCTCTAAATTTACAAAGGCTAGAGTTAAGATATTTTGCATGAAACATTGTGTAGTGAACCTCTTGCAAGATTGTTCAAATTATAGCCCTGGGGTCAAAATTGGTTCCGCCCTGGGGGTCATTGATTTTCATTATGTACATATAGTGAAAAATAAAAAATATTTTGTCTGAAGGTACAAGGCATAGAGATTTGATGTTTGATATAGAATATCATATATAGGTCCTCTACCAAAGTTGTTCAAATTTTTCCTCTGGTGTCAAAATTGGCCCTGCCCGGGGCAGTGCACATAGTAAAAACAGAAAAAAAAACAAATGTTTTCAGAATGGGAGAAAGCTATAGCTTAGACATTTGACTTGAAATGTTGTTTGGTGTCCTGTATCAAGATTGTTTTGATTAAACCCTTGGGTCAAAATTTTGCCTTGCTCAAGGGGACAGTGATCTACTTTCTTGTCCTTTGATGTACAGCAATGACATTTTGACCATGTGCACAGTTTTAGTTGTAAAATTGAACTTTGATATCAGGTGACTTAAAGATTTTGATGATGTGACCTTACTTTCTTGTCCCTTTGATGGTAGGAACCAGCTAATGAAATTTAAAACCCGTGGCGGATGGCATAGCAATTATTTTCTCACAAATGCAATCTTGTTTTTCTTTTATTACGGTTCCATAACACTTTTCAATCAACATAATAATACTTTATAAAAGAATCAAGTTTCTTTCCCCAAATGTAATTTTTAAAAATTTTTAAAAAAAGGGAAAATTCGAAAACTAACCTAAAAGGTAGGACTGCTTCTTTTTGTCAATTCGTCGAAAATTGGCCCGGAAAAAGGGGAACACTGCACCCCCTGGTTTTAAAATCGGTGCCGTTGGTTTTTAACTTTAAACTTTAAAAGGGGTTGGGCCCAAATATTAAAATAGGGTTACATTGCAAACTATTGCAATGGAACATTTTTAGAATTAATTCAAGGTTCAGTATTCTATTATTTGATTGATAAAATTATAATTTTCCCGATATGATATAAACTTTAAGTATAAAAATGTTTATAAGAGACCAACGGTTGTAATATTGTGTGCTTTGTAAAAGTACAAGTTTAACATTGATCTATCTTGTTTTCAGGAAGATCTTTTATTAAGGTAAAGATAGCGTTTAAAAAACCGCTTCCTTGTCTATTTGGATCATACGCACGACTTATATTTTTAGTTCAGTTTAATTGTGTATGAAGCTATAAGCTTATCGACATACTTTTGGATCTGTTTCTGGAACCAGACAGTACAGTGCAATAAGTGTTGCTTGTTTCTTGCTCAAGGAACAACGACTTGCCCCTTGACGGGGTTTGACCTCATGTGCACGACGTAATGATTAACTTACTATAAATTGAATATTTCACCAAAACTTGCAAAGTACAAACTGCTATGTGTCACGCAAATATTGATGTTTTACGTTCGAGCCGAAATACTTGCATTTTTTATGATCCCACTTGCATTCTTCAAAGTGTCAAACTATCTACTGTTAGTCTGCTTGAATAAATGATTTTATTATTTTTGTTAAGATCCTTTTAACAACCACATACAATGTAAATGAAAACAGCAATATTGTTGTAATATGTCACTACGAATTAAGTCGATTTGTGATACCTAAGGGAGTAAAATAGAAAATGAGAAAAAGAAAATAATTCGGACAGAACAAGATTCTTCTAACATACTGCAAAAAGTAAATTAATTTTAAAGTTTGCGCTAGATAGGGATAACAGGTCCTTGTAATACGAAAATAAAAGACTTTTGTTACAAATCAAGAAGAAAAGGCAACATGCAAATCCATGCGCATATCTCATTCTGTAGTGTAAACGCTCGATCAATATATCATACATTTACGTTTTACTAGGTTGTCCGTTCGTGTCTGAACAATGGAAGGAAGACCTCCTGAGGTATTCCTCAACCAGTAAAGCTAGAACGTCGCCATTAGACATATACAGTGTCGTTGTGACGCAGAACCAAAACAAACAAACAAATTTATTTACGTTTTTGAGCATAGGAATATGAACTTACACGTAAGGCATCCGCTAGAAGTGTCTGTAAAACCTCTATAGCAAGTACATCTTTGCGCATTACTACATGTGCCGGGATAACAGGGTGCGATCTCTGAGCATATTTCTGTGCAAAAAGGTATACTCCGAGTCGACGTATGTGTAATATATATTACAGTTTGACTGTCTTCAAATTTTCAATTACAATTAATATTAATGTAACAAAAACGAGATAGTCTGTACTAATAATTTTTTATTATAATGATAAATTACAATGCTCGCTGTGATGAAGGTGTGTTCAAGTTAGTGTCTGGGTTATAAATATATATTCATTTATCACATCTTTAAAGCGGCATTCAGTTCTTATTCCCTATTAGAAAAAACAATTCTGAAGAATTTCAGTAATTTTTTCTTGGGAAAGTGAAAACATCACTGTTAACCCTTCTTCAAAACAGCGTCAAACGAATAACTGATGTTCGTTTCTAAAAATAGAAGATCGTGATATAGAGGGCTGACCGATAGTTTATAAGTATCGAGGGGTTTCCTTATTATTTATGTTTTCTATCGTTGGCGAAATTTCCTATTTCACCTTCATACTTTTGATCAGACAACTAAATGAAACAATTTGATATCTAAAAACAACATAACTAATCTTTATAGAAGCTGAAGGCCGCTTTAAAAAAATAATGAATATGATTTGCTTACTTGTGGCGCACTGTCGACCCTCAAATGATGATGGACAAGTGCACCGATCAGGACCAGAACACCATCCACCATTCAAACATCTATTATTGCATATTGCTGCAATAAAAAGAATAAAAATGTTTTATAAAATAAAGAGAAAAAAAGATTGCAAAATAAAAGAATTATTTTAGCCACGTCATGACAAAACCAACATAATGGGTTTGCGACCAGCATGGATCCAGACCAGCCTGCGCATCTGCGCAGTCTGATCAGGATCCATGCTGTTCGCTTACAAACTCTATAACAAGTAGAGAAACTGATAGCGAACAACATGGATCCTGATCAGACTGCGCGGATGCGCATGCGGTTCTGGATCCATGCTGGTCGCAAACCCATTATGTTGGTTTTGTCATGACGCGGCTCATTTATTTATGTTTCTATTGAAATTAATGTCTGTTCTCTGTCGTAATTGTCAGAAACAACGTTGATGTAGGTCATTTTGAATACAGTTATTTTAATTGTCTGTTAAACGAACGATGTTTATTTATGTCCATTGACTTGTTTTTTGTTGTTGTTTGTTGCTCTTTTGTATTTTTTAAACGTACATTCAAACTTTAATTCTTTTCTAACTGCAAGATTGCTCATTATATTGCAATATGTACACATGTAACGGTTAATTCTACATTGCATATGTCTTTACCATTCAGAGGGTAGTTTCTTTTGTTTGCTTAAAACACAAACAAACTGCTAAATCTTTAAACAAAATAGATAGCGATAAGAATTAGGTGCAGTCCGCTCTTTTCATAAATATACTCACGAACTGAGCACCCAGGGTTTTTCCATCCAACGCAACACACCCGGTGTGGTACTGCATACTTTGAATACGATGGACACCTACTCCATCCCCTAGAAAGTTAAAAACACATACTAAGTTACAAACTCAATAAAGCTAGAATACTACAAAATATTTCAATAGGTAAGAGAATATTTTTCTTTGTTTTCTATGTACATGTAGAATAGTGAATTACACATGCATGGATTTTCTACTCAACGGTAGGATCACATACCAGGAATGAATTATAAAAGACAGTAAAATAATAAATGTTATTAAGCCATCTTGTCCATTAAATATTTCATATGTAAAATTCATATACGTCTTGAATTTGAAAGCAATTGCAGGAAATAAATGACTTACTGGACGCACATTCAAGCCGATGGAACACATTGGACAAATTAAACTTAACAAAATTATCAATGAAATAAGTTACGCACGGTAAAGCAAAGGCCTAATAGTTATGTTTAGTTCATTTTATTACATCATTATACAACGTTTTTAATTACAGTGCGTGAAAGGCATTTTGTTTTATCTTTCACAAAATCTTGCTTTAATAAGAGCGTATATTTATATTTACCACGTGCCGCACTTCACGTAAGTTTTTGATGAATCGTATGTGTATGAAGTGCAATAGCCGCTGAAATAATAAAGATACCTTAATTTAATGAACAAAATAATACAAAAAAGGAGAAAAGAAAAAAATTACAACAAAACACACACGCTCACAAAAATATTAATAAATTGTTCACTCAAACAAAAACAAAACAAACAAAAACAAACAAAAAAATCAAAGAAAAACAAACAAAACAAAAAAAAAACACAACATAAATGATAACTTCATTGCGATTTATTTATTCATTGCGATAATCTGGTCAACTCTTTGTCTTTTGAGAAGTGGTATAGGCCGCTGCTTTCGAATCACTTTCATTCATTGCAATGGGATGGGTCCCGCAAAAGGGTTATTTTCATTACAGTACTTGCTTTACAAAGTTGTACGCGAAGACATCTTAGACTCTCCCAAACCGATAACACATTATTTAAAGTCGTGATTGGACCTTTACTTTGACGATGTGACTAAAACATTTAAGGCATTAATATAAGCGTTTAGATGTGTGTACATTGAAACATATATAACGTGTATATTTGTGGAAATGACAGTTACTGGATTCTCCTAGTATTTAAAAAGCAATATATCGTTATTTAAATTGACGTTAATTCGTACACGTACATTTTTATATGCAAGGCTCTCTGTTTATTTATATAATCAAGCAAAATCAAAGATTCAAAAGAAAACTAAATAAACACAATATGCCGTTAATAATATATTGTTGAAAAAGACAAAATATACGAGAATTGAATTAATAAAAAAATATTCAGTACAGAGTGTAAGGCGTGTCACAGTTACTGTTTGATGGTTACATAACTATGACAAAATATTGTGTACAATTTAAAGCAGTCTTCCATAAAGCGGACACTAAATAATAAAAGTGAAACAGTATCAATCAAAGTGTATGTTAAATACCTAGATCAAAGTTTCATAGTCTAGATTTTGCATTATAATTATAGTTTTGTTTTTAGGTATAAAATATTGTTTTAGGGCATCCCAATGAAAAATGTGAATGTATACATTAATTTAGAAATTTTAATAACTTGCACACTAAAAAGTTATTTTGATTATCATATTTTTAGTCATAAATCGAGCAAATGATTACTGCTCTTATGTCCACGAATATATAGGAGGAAACCTCATGCTTCTATATTCAGCACCCAAACAATATGTGTAACGTTTTTTTTTTCTCTACAAATATAGCGACAGTTTCCAAATATCAAAAGTTCGGAAACAAACAAGTTTGGCGTGTAAGGAAATAAAAAGACCAATCCATGGTATGTTTTATCGGTACTTTGTACTGCAAAGATAATTACAATTTGGCAAGGGATCGCAAATAAAGACCTAATTCTGAACATGGTTTTATTTCCCCATTACATGCATTATGGAAATGATACAGGTTTAGCGGACATTCCATTGTAACCGCCTGACATATCGCCGATGACAAGGAAGCTTTGTTTTGCGGTATAAATGTTATCAAGGCTTTTTCGAATAATCTTTATGATTCGTCGTGTTGTTAAAACTAATATAAGTAGGTTTGTAACAGATATCAAAATATAAACATCTTTATCAACTGGATAACATTTAAAGTACATTAAGCAAGTATTTTGCAACAGTGTGGCCGAGTGAAGATAATATTTTTAACAGTTCATGGTATAATGAATTGGCAAAACACTATTTGTGGTGTAAGCAAAAATCATTATTGTAATGTTTTAGAGCCCATTTGTTGTTTCTGTTCTCATTTTATCAGTTTCCAAAGTGTTATTCATTGGCCATACAGCTGAATCATCTTTAAATTAACGTCATTGAGTTTCAGCAATTAATACAGATATAGTGTTTTGTTATTTTGTATCGAAGTCTTCTGTCTTCACATTTTATCACCCTTTCCAAACATTATCATACATTCGACATCATTTACTATTTAAAATCGGGATCATTGATTTATAATTTAGTATTAGGCATTAACTGTTCAATGACCATATACGGCCATTATTGGCTTTCGAGGTAAACCTAGGATTTTTTATTTATAGAACACTATTACAATACTGCAGGGTAGTAACAACGCTTTTAATTGGATAATCGGGACATTTATATAAACAATATACATCATTTTTGTCAATCTATAAAATAATTTCTTATTGTTTTTCAAAAATGGACGTTTGCTGTATTATAAATTCGTATAAAACTTCTTCAAGTGTTATACCAGTGCGTAAAAACGTTTTTGGGTAATGCAAATGAGCCGTTTTGCACTTTTATTTATGTTTGTAACCTTAGTGTGTCATGTTTGTACACGGAATGAGAGAAATGCATGTAAATGTTTATTTGACTTGACTAGACTTTATACCTGTAATGCGGCTCTGGTTATGTTGCAAATATATATAGTAACATTTTGCCTGTCCAAATCTTAATATGTTGTTATGTCTCGTATATTACCGAATTTCCAAATGTAGAAGCGTATTTTTACACATTTCTTGTATTTAGGGCTATAATAAGACCACAAAATAGTAAACAAATCGTCACAAGTATATTTTATTTCTCCACATTTTATTACTGTAACAACATTTTACAACATATATTTCCTATTTCATACAATTTAATTATATTGATATCATGTGAAATAGTATATAATATTACCCCTCACTTTTTTTGTAATGTTAATTTCCCATAGACCACTGGGAGTTACTTATACTGTAATAAAGGTGTACCATTCGACTATAAAATTTGCACTGTTACAGGGTAAGTGTTTTTTACAGTATAAAATTTGGTCACATTGTCTGTTTTCTAAAAAAAAGAAAGAAAAATCATCATAAAAATCACCGCAGCTATTGTCCGAGGTCATAAGATAAATAATACATGGTTTGTGAGTGACAGTAAAATATCATCCTTCTTAAAATACTGTTATATAACAGTATTTTCCACGGGATGATATTTCTACTGTTATCTACAAACCCATGTGTTGTCTATATACCAACATTAGCAATACTATGTTAACCTTACCACATTCTGTAACAGAAAATAGACTGTCAACATAAAACAAAAAAATATTATTCTGGAAAAACAGATGGAGCGAATTATCGGAAATTTTGCACGAAAGTAATTGACTCGGACTCATATTAAATCTTACTCAAAGTACAAAAATATGTTTTCAGTCCCGTCGTGTCAAAATTAATAACCTTTAGGACGTTTGCGGGAGTTTTCATATAGACATATAGGCAAAATTAAAACTATTCTATAGAATTCTTTAAACTTGGCATGTTGTTAGAATACGACAACAGAATCATTTTAAGCGAAAAAATAATTGGGATCATCGTGCTCGTTTTGAGTTATCTGCCCCTGAATCAGAATATTTTACTTATTTGAGGTCACATCAAGGGCAGCTAACTTATACATACTTAAATGAATTCTTGTTTTTACTTCTGGATAATGTTTTTCTTTTTATAGTTGAATACAATACATAATAACATGCAATGCCTTATATCGCTTCTGTTAATTTTTTCAATGAAAATAAAGGTACTTTGAATTCATTAAAAAAAAGACCAATTTTTAAGAAAAAAATGCACAAATTAAGAGAAGAAATGGGAAAAAAAAACAATCCACATTAAATTTTTTCTTGAAATTTTGCATATTGACTAAATAATTAGAAGAACAAATGTATTGTTTCGCTTCATTGTAAAGTATCTGCCCTTGAATTTAACGAAAAAGTCCAATTCAAGGGCAGATAACTCGAAAATGAGAACGGTGACCCCAAATATTTTTTTCCGTTTAAACAGTTTCTGTTATCATATTCTAACAACATGCTAAGTTTACAAAAAATCTATTGAACAGTTTTAATTTTGCCTATATGTCTATATGAAAACTCCTGAAAACGTCTTTAAGATAAAGTAAAGCAATATGAATTATAATACTTTTCATTAATCATCCCTGTATAAACCATATCATTAACTATCAAATGCGTAGTTGGTTCTACAATAAACAATTTAAAGAAACAGCTTACAGACACAATATATTTGAAATATTAAGTGAAAAATAATAAAATACTTCATTAATAATTAAATAACATAATCCTAAAAGATGAGGGAAATAATGGTTTTGGATGGATTAGTTAAACCATTTATTATTTTCTAAAAGCTTGTGATTCAAAGACACACGAATATGCAAATGTAACTATTTGACTTGGTTAAGTTGCATATTATTATGCATAACTTTTCATTTATTGAAAAAAAATACAACTTACAATAAAAAACCTGACAAATACTAAATAATGATATATGTGCGCAAAATATCTTTTAAAACATGTTTTGTCTTAAATAAATTCCGTTTCTGTTTTTTTTCTTTTTGTTGTTGTTGTTGGTGGTGGTGGTGATTGTGCTGTTATTGATGTTGCTGTGGCGGCTGCTGCTACCTTTTTAGCGGTAGGCATGATGGTGTTATTTGTCAATCAAATTCTAGCCTATCAAAGATATTTTTACTTCGTAGACAGTTTGTACACATATTATGTTGTTTTACTTAGCATACCTTATGACGATACATTTTTTAAAAATTGTATTTGCTTTGTTATTTATTTTGTTAAATTCTTTTATGCTAATTATTGTATTCCATGCTCAAACTAATGAAATTACAAAAATGGACAAAGAATGTTTTTTTTAAAAACATTTTAAACAATCATATTAAACAGGTTTATAGACAATAGTCAATATTTGTGCTGGGTACAAAAAAAAACAACAAAAAAAACCCATCTGTTTACATATTGAAAGATCTGAAAATTATTTACCTTATACATTCAAAATGATGTAATATAATTATACAAACACTTTAAATGAACGTTAATACCTGGTAAAATTAACAACAACAAAGTCATAAAATGTGCAGTAGATATTATGTAATAAATAAATAAATAAATAAATAACAGGTTTACGCTTAAAGACTTTCGGGGACACTTTATCTTCTTAACCTTAATAAGCACATACAATATTAACCTTTATTTCACATTGAGTTCATGAGCTTATGATTTCAACTCCGAATCCACATTCTCGTAATTCTAACTAGTACATAAATGCACGATTTAAACTTCACCGAATGAACGTTATCTCAATCTAAGCTTTACGAATTCACGATTAAAACTCAGGAATAAACGATTTTTATTGTTCATGAATTAACTAGTTCTGTCAATCTTATGACTCTAGGTCAAATATTTTTTGGACTACATGTGCCACAAGTTGAAAACTAAAAATCAACAAAGGGCCATAATTCTGTAAAATTTGGTTGCAGCAAAAATTCCCTCCTTTACTACCATCTACACCTTAAGGTTGTTCATCCCTGTGAGTTTAAGCAAAATCTGCCATCCGGTTTAAGAGGAGTTGCGTTCACAAAATTTCTACATAGTATATAGTGAAAAAATCAACAAAGGGCCATAATTCTGTTAAATTTGGTCGCAGCAAAAATTCCTTCCTTTACTCCCATTTACACATTAAGGTTGTTTATCCCTGTAAGTTTAAGCAAAATCTGCCATCCGGTTTAAGAGGAGTTGCGTTCACAAAATTTCTACATAGTATATAGTGAAAAAATCAACAAAGGGCCATAATTCTGTTTGATTTGGTCGCAGCAAAAATTCCTTCCTTTACTACCATCTACACATTAAGGTTGTTCATCCCTGTAAGTTTAAGCAAAATCTGCCATCCGGTTTAAGAGGAGTTTCGTTCACAAAATTTCTACATAGTATCGTGTGAAAAAATCAACAAAGGGCCATAATTCTGTTAGATTTGGTCGCAGCAAAGATTCCTTCCTTTACTACCATCTACACATTAAGGTTGTTCATTCCTGTAAGTTTAAGCAAAATCTGCCATCCGGTTTAAGATGAGTTGCGTTCACAAGATTTCGGGACGTACGGACGAACGGACGGACTGACGGACGGACAAGTGCAACGCTATATGCTCCCACATTGTGGGGACATAAAAATCAATATTGAAAATGATGAAGTTTAATCTAAATTTACAATAACGCATTAAAGCTAAAAATGTGAGTTCATGAGGATGAAGTTACGAATACATGACGTTAGAGTACTGAAATCTTAAATTCATAAAAAGATGAACTCATATATGCATAAACTAGTAATGTCGACGTCGCAAATTCGTGAAATTAAAATTGTGATTTCGTGAAATTGTGAATTTGTAATCATGAATTCGTGAAGTTGTGTTCATGAATACGTAACTTTTAAAAGTCCCTGCCGTTCTTAAGTATTTCGCTTTTACTTACTTTATGTATTCATAATTATATGTTTAAATTCATGAACACGTTTTTTGTTTTCCCCATTTTATAATGGTTTAGTTTTTCAATAAACAATAAATTAGGTATGAATTCAAACAAAAAAATGTTAAATTCAAAACATTTCTAAATTGGAGTAACCAATACATACCCAAACGCACTATCACTAAATAAACTTATAACCACGGCAACAAAATAAAAAGAATCCATGCTCAGCACCGAATTGTCTAAAAACATTATCGTGTATCTCTTTATATACGGTTTATTGTTCAAATAATTTCCTGTTTTAAAGAGATGTAAAACAGCCATGAAAAATATTTTTCCCAGTGTTCATTGCCCGATATGAATTTCTTTATCAGCTTCACCAAGGAACATAATCATCGAAGATCTATGAGTAGTTTATGGGTATTTTCTTAACAGAGATAAGCACGTCGTTTTATTCGTTTTATTCGTTTAGCTTTGTAGAACAATTGTTTTGTCGCGTATAAGTTAAGATTTGACAGGACTGTTCGATCAGATAAAAATCGATGGAATGACGTTTGAAATAGATAAAATATAATGACGTCAATTTTATGTTTTTCGTACTAGGACGATCGTTATATTTAATCTAAAGCATAAAACGCGTGTGAAAAGTACTGAACAAGTCTTTGACAGGTGGCATCTAACACTAAACCCCTGCTTATAATCGCTTATTTGTTCTTTGTCCATTGTTTACCAGGGAAGATAATTAAAGCCATTAAAACTCACCTGAGCGAAGAAAGGTTACAATTACGCGCCAGGTAACCTAGACATTTATTGTATGACTTGCACATATTTAAAAAAAACAATTACAACATTTCAGAATTATCTTAGTTGTTATTTCTAACAGAGTCATCACATCCCGACATGTTTAGAGTCTTGCATTAAGACAAAACTCTCGAGTAAGTCTGTGATTTTGATTACTTCAGTTGATAACAATTCATTCGATTTAAATGCGACACAAGAAAAGATACTAAATACTTCAATATGATTGTAAAACCACAATATTGATATAAACTTAAAAGCACGATGTTGGGTTCCCCATACCAAATGATAATGCATGTGTTGGTTTGTTATATAACTTAACCTTAGGTACTATCATTCACTAACATCTTACCCTGCTGGTTAAACAAACAAATATATTAACCGTATTCATAATGAATGATAACAAAACATTTAACGGGCTTTTGACAACACATCATTTTACTAACACATCATGTGATATAACATATAATCTGAGAAATTGGTATATAATATAACAAAGCATAAACTACTATCATCCACAAACATTTACCACTGATGCTTAAAAACATGTTTTTTTCCTAATTCAAAATAAATAATAACACAATATTAAACGGGTTTTTGACAACACATCTTGTGAAATAACATACAATCTGAGAAGTTCCTAATGCTTAGTAGTGACCAAAGGAAAAATCCCTTTCATACAAAACAAAATAAACAAACAAACGAATGAAAACAACAACACCAAATCAACTGATAGTTAAGTTACAAAAATGTTTGTTCAAGTATATTCAAGAGCAATTAGTAATCACATGTGTCGCCTCATGATGGCCAATTTCATGTTGGAACAAAGTTTGTGACAAACGGACAGACAGAGTGACGGACAGTGCACAACTAGACTTGGTACTGATCATTCCTGTAAAGTTTGGATAAAATTGCACCAGTAGTTTATGAGAAATCCGGACAAGCTTTTGCGTATCTGGCAACACACAAAAAAAACACATTTTTATCAAAGGGCCATAACTCGGCCAAAAATCATTCCACCGGAAACCCGTACAATATGCGCAAGGACTTGAGCTACAGATCAATCCTGTAAAGTTTCATTGAAATTGCATTAGTGGTATAAGAGAAGTAGTCCGGACAAACTTTAAAATTAAAAATTATTAAAGGGCCATAACTCTGACAAAAATCATTGAACCGGAAAATGCTGACAATATGCACAACAAGACTTGTTACTGATCATTCCTGTGAAGTTTGGATGAAATTGCACCAGTAGTTTATGAGGAGTAGTTCGGACAAGTTTTGTGACGGACGAACGGACAGACGGACGTTCTCACAGGACAGTAATTATGTGGCTACTTTATTGTTCTCTCTATTGTTCTTTTTAGCCACGCAAAAGAAAATAGCCACATAAAAGCATTACGGAATGAATGACATCAAAGAGAAAGAACAGTTACCTATTGTCCCTCTAGCCACATAATTACTCTCCTGTGAGTGCGGCCGGCCGGACGGACGGACAGACGGACAGACAGACGACGGAGAAGTAATCCCTATATGTCGCCACTACTCCGTAGACGCGACACAAAAAACACACAAAATAACAATGAACACTTTTGACCGTTTTATAAAATACACACGATAAAGCCATATGTGATTGTTTCCCTACTAAGCCCTTTTAGAATTAAATAATGTCACAAAGGCATTTTCAGTGATATAATAGTTATTACAAACTCATAAGACAAGGCGTACTAGAGAAATGTCTGCAAGCACGCATGTATGAGTGTACCTGCATGTGTGTACGTGTTTGCATGATGTTTGCTTTATTACCCTCGCCACAGAAATGAACCTCACAGGCGAGTAAATACTTAATTCATAACTCTGAGAGACCCTCTATATTAGTTCAAGCACGAGATTGTAAATGAGTAGAATGGCCGATCTTTCATTAGCAAAGATAAGTTATATCCCATAATATGTAAAAACGTATAGTAATTTGAAAATTAAGAAAACAATGAAATTTGATGCAAGCCCACAAGCAAGTGGTAGCATCGTTTTCAATTATATTAAGTGGTAGTGATCTTTCTTTCATACTGCGAATATTAACAAGTCTTTCGGATAATGAGATTTCAAAGGCCGTAATCCAATGGTTGAAACCATTTACATTAAAGAGTCATTTGGTTTCTATTAAAGTGATGCCTGCGTACGTTGCGCTAAAGGTCAAGAAGTAAGTTTACTAATAGTCTCCTGAAATGTATTGCACAACCGAGTGTTTTTTTGTGCTTCAAGATAAACATAGTACATGTACTTTACAAAACTTCCAAACCTCGTACATGTCGAAATGCTTGCTGTAACATTTTTATTAAAAATCATATATTGTCAGCTCCGTAAACGTTTTTTCATGTGTTTTCTAATTTCAACACTTAACGGTTTATATTATGTCAATTGTGCGTGCCGGATGGACCCTTACAGTTGTGCGATTAAGCAACATGTTACTTGTTTCTTTTTTACAGCTGAATATATGTTTGACCTCTTTTCGGAATTTAGAAACAAAAAGAAAATACAGAACAAAATTGATCGCACTGTTGGTCATGTAGGCAAATGATGCCGCACCCCAGAACAGTAATATTACCGCATCGTGGTGATCATTTCCGTGTGTTAGCTGCTGGCCGCCATACAATGCATAAAAGACAGCTACAGGTATAGCAGATACGAGAAAACAGATGCTCAAAATGGTCAGTATCTTTGTCGTTCTGAAGGATTGCTGTTTCTGTGAACGGTTAGTGACACCAGGTTTGATGGCTCTGAACGCAATTCGTACTCCCGTCAAGATATTTGCACCAATCACAAATGCGACTGGTACAAGGATAAAAAATGCAGTTTGCAGATTTACCAACATTTTCACAACAAACATATTGTAGATTCCTTCGATTTGGACACAGTGTCCTTCTTCTTTCAGACCTAAGCCAACAAGTGCATGAATGTTTACCAGATAGCACAAACTAACTATCAAGGTAATGCAAATATTTATGTTTCGTAAAGAACAAATCGATTTAAATTTGTGTGGTAGCAAGACGGAAATAAGCCTAGTTAGTGATATTGCTGCGATCAGCAGAACTGATATCTGTGCAAGAGAGGCAGCCATGAATGTAAGACATTTGCATACAAAATCCGAAAAATCACTGACGTTTATCCCAAATGCAGCACGTGGCCAAATGATAAAACCAGCTATCCAAAGAAAGCATAGATCTGTGACAGCAAGTGCACTTAAAATTCTGGAATTTGAGCAACGTCGTTGTTTAGGCTTAAAAAGAACAATAAGAGACAACGTGTTACCGATTGTTCCGAAAATTATAAGGCAGGGTATACCTATCAGTAATAAGTACAAACATATCTTATACTCGATAAACTGGTCTAAAACTGCCATTTTAATTTTATACATTGACTATCTATGTTTTCTTATGTCATTAGATCGGGTTGCCGGAGTATTGTCATCGTTTTTACAACACTCCCCTGGCTTGCTCTTTTCAAACACTAAACTGATTTTAACAGTGTGTCCATAAGTCCATAGTACGCCCGTCCATGTCTGCCTATCTGAAAAGAAAAACAACAGAAGTTATCTTATCAGACTTTTTGTAAAGACTTCAGTAATGTTTTACAATGAAAGATTATTTAATCTGCATTAAAAAATAATTGTGTGGTTTAGGTTCAAAGACCAACAAAATGAACAGCTATAAAGCAGTTTCGTGAATATATTATCAAGCCATCTACAAGACATTAAAGAATATCGTAAAGCGTTTGTGTAGTTGGAAGTTTCTTTTAATTGAACTGACCATTAATGCGTTGTTTTTGGTGTTAATTAAGTCTCTTCAATTTTTTTCCGAATACTGTTTATTTTATTTCAAATATTTATTGTTTTTGTATTGGAGTGGGCATCGTGGAGTCCGGAGCAATGTTACCACATTTATACAACACCTTTAAAGGACACACTTGCTGTAAATGGTTATTGTGGAAAAAATGTTTCAATTGAATGTATTTATAATGTTGATAGCAACATTTATCAATTTCAAATCCACTTTTGTTTTAGAATTTGTGATTTGCATTAAATATACTGCACAGGGCATAAAGACTATTCAGAGAAAAATTTAAAAAATGTGATATCTTTCGTTCTCATCAATTTTTATCATGTAAATAGCTGAATGTACATACAATCTATATAATGTGTTGTGTATGTTTTGGTATACAATATGTTTAAATCAAAGATTTCCGACAATTTTGAGCTTTGTTCGTATAATGAATAAGTAAGTAAACACATAATTATCTTATTAATGCACTCTGTCATGTGTAAATATACTAAAAAAAGAAGAAGGAAAAAGGGAATACAGCATTCTTACACAAGTATACACCTTGACATTGTATCTAATTAGGAATTTGCTAACAGTTACTCTCCCACACAAAACGGGTCTAAAAACAACAACATAGTGTTCACAGTTATTAAACTTGCATACCAGTAAACTATGCAGTTTCCCCGAGATAATTGTGACGTAACGGTTGTTAAGTTTCACTCGACACATAATATAAAC